CATTCCTGGCCCTGGAACACCCTCTTGTGCTGTGAATGACCTTGTCAAGAACTGCTTGGGGCCTCCAGGGGGAGGGAGGCTCCCTGGAACCTGAGACAGCCAGCCCACCCCAGTGGGGTCTGGGCTCACCTGCCCAAATGTGCCCATGCCCTGCACCCCCTACTCCCTCCACCCACCGTGGCCTCCTTGCTGTTCCTCTGTGACACTAAATTCCGCCCAGCCATCAAGTCTTTGCATGGCCTGTTCCCTCTGCCAGACTGTCCAAATCTCACTCACCTTTTCTAAGCAAATAAAGTTGCCCCTGCTGGGCCCTCTCTAGCTCCGTGCCCTGCCTTCCCCGAGCACTTGTCACCACCTGGAAGTATTTATTCATCTCTTTACCTGTCACCTGTTCACCTCACCTATCAGACTGTGAGTTACCTGAGGGCAGGGGCCAGGCTGAACACACGCTAGGCGTTTAATTGATGGAATAAACAAAGTGGTACACATCAGGGGACCTGAGGGAGAGAGTGAGGTATCGGTTTATACCTCTGAAAAATAGACATAGGAGCCCTGAGGGGTCCCACTGCCATAGCCTGGGGTCTCCAGTCATGCCCCTGCACTCACCCCAACCCTACCATGGCGATCCTGGGGGGAACCTTCTGACCCCCAGGTATGACCAGGGCCCTCTCCTGCTCAGACCTCTCCCATGGTTCCCTAGTACCTTCACAGTACAATGGGGCTCTTCTAAAGGCTCTACGTGCTCTCTGGCCAGCCCCTCCTGCCACATGGCCATCTGTGGAGGTGCTTTCTGGCCTCCAGGCCTTGCCCATAGTTCCCTCCACTGCAGACACCCTCCCCTCTACCTCTGCTTCAGACTCCTGTACCTCCTCCAACACCCCGACTCCAAACCCCTTTCTCGGCCCCTGCCCTGCTGACGTGGACTGGAGTGTCCAGCTGTCTCCCCAGACCTTTGAAAGCCAACTCCATTATCACTCAGGTAGCTGAATAGCCCACCCAACCCCCAAATATACTTGAATCCCCCTAAACTCCATCCTCCTCAGTAAAAGATACCCGCTTGGCAGCCTGTTTGTCAATCGCCGGGCCACGCTCGCAGATGCAGCCAGCAGGTGGCGCTGCAGCCCCGCAGCTCTTCCGCCTTCCACCCCCACCTCACCCCAGGCCCCCGCTACTGCAGTGTCTTTGCCTTCTGGCTGTCTCAGACCTCCCCACCTCTGCCCCGGCCAGGACACCCACCAGCAGCGCTCCTGCCCCAGCACGACACTGTACAAAGGCTAAAGGGCGGGTTGCCCACGGCTAACCACCCCACACCCAAGCTGGAAAAGTCCCTGGCAGCCCCTGCCCCGCCCCACGCCCACTCCACAACACGCCACTTCCCAGGACCCAGTAAACAGCTTCAGACTGGAACCAGGCCACTCCAGCCAGCCTCAGGCCTCAGCCACCGCAGGGAATGGCACTGGGGAAGGCCCAAGGTGTGGGGTGGGGCAGGCTGCCATCTGCCCTGGAGGCGGCGGGAAGGTGAGGTATGGAGCAGGTGGGGTGGAGCCCCAGGGCCGGGCTGCCCACAGGAGGCCAAAGCTGGCTGTGGCCAGAGGTGAGACCGGGCCCTTGGCTTCCCCACACCTCTGGAGAAAGAAGTGTGTGTGTGTAGGGGGGTCACTCAGCTCAGGATGCTCGCACAGCTCCCTGAACCCCAGGCAACCCCGAGGCCCCTCTCCCCTTGGCCCCGGGCCACCCCTCCACCTGCCCTCCATTTCGGACAGCGTCCCTGTCAACACCACTGAGCCAACACAGGTCTTGGAAGGGCAATCGTTTTATTTGGATTTTTGAGAGCAATAGAAGGGTAGATTAATACCTATCTTTCCAAGTTAAGAGACCTAAGACTGTTTCCAAAAGACTTCAAATAAGAAACTCCTCCTCAAGGTACAAGGATAACCTGAATCATCTTAAACCAGCAATAAAAAAGTAAAATATAAATTTTTATTTAGAATTAAAGCAAATACTTCAGTATCACAAACACAATATTAAACTTCAAGAAATACACGGCTAATTTGGAGTGAGCATTTATTTGCACAATTACGACATGCGGACAAACCCAGCAGGTGAGCAGGCTGACGCAGGTCAGCACGCGGTTGATCACACCACCCGCCCGAAGCACGGCAGCAAGTGCACACGGAGCGGTCTGCAATCGAGCCCCAGGGGCCTCAGGGGCATCACGCTACTCCTCCTCACCGGAGGACTCCCTCTCAAACGTGTAGGCCATGAAGCAAGCGTCGGGTCTCTTGGGGACAAGGGGATGCCCCGGTCTCACAATCTCAAAGCCCAGAAAGCTGAAGGTACGGAGCAAGGCGGCTGTGGAGGAGACGCCATCAGGTCAGAACCACCCCGTCCACCTGCAGGGCCCAGAGCCCTGCCGGCCCGGGGACCGCCTGAGACAGAAGGCCCGAGTCTAGGGCAAGGGGGCTGCTCACAGAGTGTGGCGCGGTCCCTGGACCACACGGACCCCACCCTGTGCCGGGCCTCCAGGGCAGTGGGCAGCCTCTCCCATATCCTCTCCCCCGCGTGGAGATCACCCACCTCGGTCATCGCGGTTCTTATGGAGGCAAACGAAGACGTGGTCAGCGCGGAGCTGCTCCTCAGCAAACTCGAGAAGAACTGCGAAGCTGAGGTTCCAGCGTCAGGGCCCGCGCCCCTGCCGCCCCACAGGGGCCCTAGCCCAGCTCTCCCACTTCTGTCTGTGGCCTCATCTGCATACTGGGAGCACCAGCCTCTCCCGGGTCTAATCCAGGGTCAGCCTTGCCACTGCTGACATTGGAGCCAGGTCATTCTGGGGGACCGTCCTGGGCACTGTGGGGTGTCCCTGGCCCCACCCACGTGACACCAGGAGCAACACCCACAATGTGACAACCACAGGTGGCCCCTGGAGTCCCCTGGGTGATACTGCTGGTCCACTGCTTAAAAAGAGAACCCTCACCCCGGAAACAATAACCACTGCCTGGCTCCTGACTCAGGCTTCCCTCCTCTGGAGTCCAACTTTGAGGTGCAAACACGGTTTGCCTTGCTCTGCCCCCCAGGCGCACACAGGCCCGCCCTCACCTGTCCTTGCTCCCCTCGGGCAGAGCGCCGCCTGGGATCTCAACGTAGAGGCAGCTGTTGCTCAGCACTGCTCTCCAGTTAATGTGTTTGGCATCCGTGAGCCTGGACTGGACGTTAAAAATTCTCGTCTTGTTATTAGACGTTAGTTCCTCTGTTACATTCAGCCGATTATCCTGTGGAAGAAGACCAAACCCAACCTTGGACTCCAGCCTTCACAGCCTGGGGATCTTCCCCCTTGCTACTCTGACAGTTTGGAAAACCCAGAAAAGCACCCATATGACCGTTCACCCCAAGCCCTGCAGCGCTGTTGGCCTCCCGGGCCTCTGAGGAACGGTGGCTCCGCCCAAGGCCAGAGCAGGACCCCCAAGCTGAGGCGCCAAGAGGAGGTGCCAACAGCTACTAGAGGCTCAGGCAAAGCCTGCGCTGCAGTCTGCACCTTTGCTCCTTCCATCCGGGATTCAGGAAAACCATGTGGAGAGTTCCGGCACACCACAGGTGCATAAAACATTTTGTGGGTCTGGCTACTCTCCCCCTGCGCCACCTCAAGTACCCATAAGTCCGAGGAAGAATACTTACAGAGTAAAATAAATTAGCTGAAAGACTGTGATCCCTCTGACTATTCCCTCGCCCACCTGGGATCTTCAGGGGTGGGTGAGGGACATCAGGAGCACCACTGAGGCCCTGGGCCCAGGTTACTACAGCAGTTGATGGACGCCCTGGAACTGGAGAAAAGGCGCTGGTGAGCAGCACTGGGAGAGACGCCCCGCCTCCGCTGACAGGGCCCCGAGCCCAGCAAGGCCAAGCAGAAGACCAAGGCCTACCAGAGCCCAGGTCCCTGTGACGCGCCTCCCTCTCTCAAGCGCAGTGTTTACACCGGGTGCAGAGTCAACATCTGCCTCCGTCGGGTCAGCAGCCACAGGAACAAGAGGCCACTCAAATCCACCTCCTCGGGTGGTGACGCTGATTAAAGGCCCAACCGTCCCGAGTGCCTCTTCTGCCCTTTAACTATCTTCTGACCAGCACTAAGTGTCGCCCTATCCAGCCCTGCGCCAGGTTCTACTTCCCACTTCTAAATCCAAGCGCTTCAGCTTCCCCTTTTCCACTTTGCAGTCTCCAGCAGACCTGAAGCTCTAACAGCCTTTTCTTAGGAGTCCAGAAAAACCGTCCTTCCACTGAAGCAGCCCCTGCTGCGGCTCTTTCGTTGTCGGCACCCGCCGGGAGGCGCGGGACCCGTTCGGTGTCCCCGCAGGCGCAGAGGAGACGGGCCCGCGCAGACGCCCTCCCGCGCGCACCCCGAGGCCTCCGCTTGCGTCATCTCGGCAGAGCGGCCCTCGGCCCCGGGGGAGGTTTTCACAATCGCGCAGCCGGCAGCGCCAGCAGCCATTTGCTGCGCAGTGTCAACAGGCCCCGCGGTCGCCTCCATTTTGCTCGGCTCCCATCCGGGGCGCCCGACCCGCGGGCGTCGGCATCTTGGCTCAGGGCCCGCGCGAGGGCACCCCCGGGGCCGTGGTCTAAGACCTCACGATCTGTGGCGAGCGCGGCTCACCTGGACCCCCAGCCCCGGCCACCCTCGA